GGGCATTTGTCTGTTGACCACTTATGGTCTTTAGCTCAATCAGTTATATTGGGTAAAGTTTCTCCTAGCGAATTTAGAGACCAATGGGGAATCGAAGCCCTAGGGTGGAATCGGCTTTGAGATGTTAATTTTCAGATCTCCTTCGATTCGGTCTAGTTTGCGACTAGGGTTCGCACTTCGATCTTGCTTCGCGACTCGACTTGCATCGCAAAGGTGAGTTTCGGTCCTCTCTCTCTCTCTCTCAACAACCCATCTTCTTTCTCCTCTCATGTCAGCCATGTCCGAGAAAACCATACCGAATCCGACACATATCTCACACCCGCACCCGTGTCGTGTCGTGTCGTGTCGTGTCGTGTCGTGTCGACATGGGTACTCTGCCCTAAACGGGCGAGTCCATGTAACACAAGTTCTACTACATCTGCTCCGGCTCCTAATACTGACTTGCTTTATTGAGTGCTCAGATTAATCAGCTTTAGTATACACTGTCTAACCTCCTAGCCATCCCCATCTGCTTCCATTGTTTCCTCTCTTCATTGAGGTTTGCTTGGGTCTTCTTCAAGTACCTCTTCGTCTGTCTGGGTTTTTGGCTCTAGTATCTCTCATCATATGACTCTCTATCTCTTCTTACTTCAAAATTGTTCTCTCCCTCCCATTCCTATTACTGTTAATACTGCTAATGGGTCTGGTATGTCTATTATATCTGTTGGGTCTGTTTTACCGTCTGCTATGCCTATTGTCTCTATTCCATCTGTCCTTTATGTTCCTCGATTATCTGTTAGTTTATTATCTATCAGTCAGCTTGATGCCTCCGGTTTTGATGTTATCTTTTCTTCTTCTATCTATTTAGTGCAGGATCGGATGTCTAAGCAACAAATTGGGACTACCGTAGAGTTTGAGATCTCTATGTAGTGGAAAGCTTGCATCTGCCTATGACTACCTCTCCAACTGCCTTTTCCTCTTTTCAGTTAGATTCTCTGTCCAGTCCTTTCTACTTGTGACATTCTAGATTAGGGCATTTGTCTGTTGACCACTTATGGTCTTTAGCTCAATCAGTTATATTGGGTAAAGTTTCTCCTAGCGAATTTACTGAGGGTCGAAGGTGTAAACTTGCCAAAATGACAGCCTTACCTTTCTATAAAAGTACCTCTATATCTGATACACTATTTTCCTTCTCCCGTTCTCACTAAAGAGGGTTCTGTATACTATGTTTCATTTGTTGATGACTGCACCCGTTACACTTGGGTTTATCTTATGACTTATAAGTCTGACTTCTATTAGATATATTGTACTCTATACAGTTTGGGTCTACTATTAAATTGTTGTGGTCTAACTTGGGCAGGGAATAATTTAAAATTGAGTTCTGTGAATATTTGGCTAATTTGGGTACCATTCACCAAATTTCTTGTACTGATACATCTGCCCAAAATGGTCAAGCTGAGTTGTAAACACTTTTATCTCCTTGAGACAGCTAGGTTTCTCCTCCTCTCTGTCTCTGTTTCGGCTCCGTTTTGGGGTGAGGTAGTTCTTACTATTGCTTTTCTTCTCAACTGTATGCCTATCCCCCTTCTTTCTGGTTGGTCTTATTATGAGGCTCTATTTCTCAACTTCCTAATTACTTCATGTTTCATGTGTTTGGGTTTACTTGTTTTGTCCTTTTATCCCGTAAAGATAAGACCAAACTTAGTGCCCGGTCTGTCGTATGTGTCTTTTTGGGTTACAGTCTCACTCAGAAAGGTTATCGCTATTATGACCTTGCTTCCCGTCGCCTTTATGTCTCTCACCATGTTGCATTTCTCGAACGTCTACCTCAGTTTCAGCTTTCTCCTCTCACAGTCCCAATTTCCAAAGAGGATTTGGTTTATATTGATCTTTCCTTCTGAAGTCCCTCCTGATGAGTACATCTCTGCTATTTCCCATGAGCTTATTCCCTCTTCTCCTTGTACAACCCCTCTTAATGAGTCCTTCTCCACTGACCCCCATGAGTCTGTTCCCTCCTCTCCTCTTCCTTCCCTGCCTGCTCCTGTTCTTACTCCTTTTCCTTCTCCTTCTCCTTCTCCTCTTCCGGTGTTAGTTTATTCTCGTCGCAAGGCTCTCCACCCACTAATT